GATTCTTCGCACAAGCTTTTTCTAAGATAGTAATGTGTAGGCGCTAACAAAAGCATCTTTCAAAAAGAAAACGGAAACTGAAGTCAGTAGATAGTCACTGAATCGAATCACGCTTAGCTCTAAGCTGTTGAAATAGGGGGACACGACGGGGGGGAGGGGAGGGGGACACGACGGGGGGGAGGGGAGGGGGACGGGGGTGAACGGGTAGTGGAAGGAATTCACACTGTCCCGCACTTCCACACGCGGACTAATGGTTAGCGCTGCACGAGTTCACGAGTTCCCTTCCTTTCTTCTATGAATTTGTTGATTCAGATTCCTTTCAATTTAGTAAAACAGCATCACTTAAAATTCAGTAGCAGTGTCCTATACATTTCTTAACTGGCCGTCGAGTAACTCGAAGAGTGAGGACCCTTAACCCTTTAACTCCCAGGATCTGATTATGAATTCTCTTTTCTCGCTGCTACACATTTCCTTGCAAATAAGTCACAAAAATTTGGTGTTAGATCAGGACCAACAATCTCTACCTAATAAGTTTGAATATCCTCATTACATGTAGGCCGGATAATGTGTGAATATCACAGGAAGAAATTACATATTAATCACTACTGGCAGTTAAAAGGTTAACTCTCAGAGGGGCTTATCAGGACAGTCGGATGTCATGGTAATCTCAGACGCAGACGTATCTATAATAAAGAAAATAAGGTAATACAAAAATAAATATTTCTGCAAGTAAATTTCGAGTTCACAACTTAGAATAAAGATATTTATTAACTATAGATCTGTAAAGTCTACAATGTAAACTGCAATATTATCATTACGTGAGCCCCCTCAATGGGAGGAAGACATCTGACTTTGTCTAATAAATAAATGTTGCACAAAACCTAGAGTGTAAGTCACCAGAAATGGAAATCCTAAAAAAAAGAATACGGACAGTGCTAAGATTTCAACAAAAACAGACTGCAAAAAATGGTTTTGGGAAACACTGAAGTACAGAAAAGGATTTCAACCCATTCAGGACCCTCGTAAGTAGTAGTTACACAGAGCTAATCTTACTTTACATAAACTATTGGTAAGATCACCCCTTATTTAATTCGTAACCGATTACTGGTGTCCGATTACGGCCAACTATTCGATTACACTGTCCGATTACAATTGTCCAAAGTGATTGGTGAAATATAAAGCAGCTGATGCACCAATCACATGTGAGGAAATTGTAATGGTTATGATTAATTCGTAACCTCAAGTCTTAAGTTACTTATGAGCATAACCTATAGTACTGTGAATGATCTTGTTATTTAAGCAATATGGCAGGAGAAATGACGCAATCACACATGTGTAGCCCTTTCCACACATGGGTGCATTTCCCAGTTCTCATGTTCAGATTAACTTTCCTCAGTACTTTCGAACCTTGATTTATTTCCAAAAGACTTAATCGCTACATTAGTAGATTACAAACATATTCCGACTGTGCATGTCCCTCACTTTCAACTGCACAAGTTGAGCAGACCTGAAATGCAAGGCAGTTTTCAGCAACAGAATTGCTGTTAACAAGAATTCGCGGTTAATTCTATTAAAAGCCGATACAGCAACCTATGTTACACAATCTAAGATCACAATTCAGTTAAATTATATTTTTTATACCAATATTATACCAATATTAATTTTTTATACCAATATTTTTTATACCAATTGTAGAATAACCATAATAACTAACATCTGACGATCTCGAACATTCTTTCCACAATCTCTTATTCCATTTCATTTCCTTTTTCTAGTCTTTTTTTTGCCTCTAAATTTGGATTATTTCGCAAAAGCTAAACGCTACAGTCAAAGATTAAAAGCTTCCTCACGCTTTACAAACCTAGGCAGAACAAAAAATTAATGGAGAGCCAAATGTCTAAGCATGCTTGCCTAGAAATCGGTTGCAGTGTCTATGTAATCTGGAGGATAGGCGTGCTCACTTCAGTCAAAATCTCTGTCCGGAAATAGGACAGGAGCAATGAGGGTCCAGATAAACAGCAGCAGACCCATCCAACTGGAAGTTATCTTGATCCACACTGCCACACTGCTGTTTGTAAGGTTGTGGATGTTACTGGATTCTGGCCTGAAATTAAAGCAACTTGTATTTAAAAAAAAAATTTAGGCTGACTGCTAACAGCACTAAGGCACTAGGTATGAACATTTTGGATTGTTTTAAAAGTCGTACAAATGGAATTTACTCTTTTCATGTGGAGAAAATCAGTATATGTTCATGTATTCTACTGAGCAAATTACACTTCCAACAACAATCTAGAATAAGGAAAGGTGTTTCTTTGTTTCATCACAGGGCTGTGACAAAAAAAAAACTTCTGAGTCCCACTGAGGAATTGAACCTCAATGCCTCTGAGGTTTAATTCTTCAAAAGGACCAAGAATTTTTTTCTCTCTCCCATACTTGTGCCTACATCATTATGGGAATCAAAATTTACCATCTTTCACGTCCTATTTACAAAATGTTAGGATGTCATTTAAGAAAAACTAATGACAAAAGAGAAGTGTGTTATTGATTGTTTAGAAATTTTGATAAAGTGTTCTAGAATATACATCATCCACCTAAAAAATTTTGCTCCCAAAGAGCACAGAAATATAACTTAGAACAATTTATGCAGTCACTTACTTGTACCAGTTTGTCAAGGTCATCATGACGTAAAGGGAAGCCAGGAACAACATAAAATGATAAAATGAGTAACTGTAAGCCACCTGATCTTGTTCATCATCATACACCTGCTGTCTGTTCCCTTCTTCCATCAGGTTTATATCACTGTTAGCACCTCCCTCTTCACGAAGGGTAGTAGCCTCAGTGCTACCTGTTGCACTTGCTGCTGGGTTGCTCATACCAAGTTTTCCCACTTGTGAGCTGCTTGCTGTCCTAACACTAGCATACACAACCATGAGAAACATCACCACAACACCAATGATGGCTTGGTTGTCAACGCTCTTCACTGAAGGATCAGCGTTTACAAAGGGGTTACATGAAGGATCTGAAATAAAAATTTGGTCAATGTTATTAGTCTGCATATTCTCCATACTGTTCTCTATACATTTCCTGAGGTGTTGACAAGGAGAATTTGTTTAACAATCAAGAGCTTCTTTAGTTGGTGATCATTTCCTTAAATCTTGTGACCTTAATGTTTTATTCAAGGCTGATATTGTAGGGAGAAATTAGATGCTGGTCACTCTTAGGGGTTAGAGGGTTAACAGCAAGTAGCACTCAGTCTAGAACAGCAAAGTGAAATGGTCTTTAAAAGGTGATATGCTATGAAAACCAACCACAAAACTACCATGCAAGTCTTCATCTGGAATTTTTTGAGTAAAAGAAAGGTAGGGAAATGTTGGTGAGGATGGACATGGAAGGATCTGAAAAAGCAAACATCAGCTGGAATTCAGAGGAGAATTCTATTTTAACTCCTGGAAGTGATTAGGGACTTGTCAGAAATTAGCAGGGGGGAGGGGGGGTGGGAATTTTAAATTT